CGGTAGATATCTAGTTGGAGTAGCTATCAGCAGAAGGGACAGCAAGCCCAAAGGCCCTGAAGTAGACACACTGCCTCATCTGAGGACCTGCCCCGGGCTAGTGTGGCGGGAGCAAAGTAAGGGAGGGTAGAAGGAACAAAGACCAGCCGGCAATTAGAAACAAAGTCACGCGTAGGGACTTGGGGAGGCCGTGATAGAGCCTCTATCCTGAAGCCATGGAAGAATTTTGGGAAGAGTGACAACACCCAGCTTAGATTTCAGAGGATCACTCTGGCTATTATGCTGAGAGCAGGTAGTGGGGGCAAAGGCAGGATAGGGAGGAGGACAGTGGTCCAGGTGGTCCCTGCGATGAGGGTGACAGCGTGCGGTGGAGGTGGTGATACATGGTGGGGCGTGGGCATATTTGAAGCTTCATCACTTAGATCTGCTGAGGGGCTGCATGTGGAATTTAAATGTTAGACGTGTGGCTCAGAGGTAGAGCACTTGCCTAGGATGAGCAAGGCCTGGATTGAATCCCTAGCACTGAAACAAAAAAAAAATCACACGACAGAACATTCCTAAATTTCCATGCACTTACTGAAACGAGGCTGATGGATTCACACTGAATTTGATTGTGTAGGACGTGCAAATTAGTGTCCAAGAAAAAATGAAGCATACACACACATTTAAGCATATACATTTATGGTAAATTCTAGCTGTTTTTCTTCATATGGACTCAGTTCTGACCTGCCTCCGTAGCAATGTTGAGGCCTCTGTGAAACATAGAATTTCTGCTCAAAAAAATATGGAAAGACAGGAGTCAGAGTGTTGTGCTTTGGATTGCTTCAGCTTCCTCCCTGGCAGAAATCTCTGAGGTCAGAACCTCGGATCTGACCGTGCTATTTAAATGTGTGTGTGTTAGGGAGGCAGTGACTTTGGAAGACAGGGAGAGACAGTACTATGCGGGGAGAAGACGCACATTTCCATGTTAAGAAACTTTCTTCCATGTTGTCAGGCTCATCCCATCAATAACTACAAACTTCTGGACAGGAGAAGCTGCTCTTTCACCGTTAGGTCTTTCTCCATCCCATGGATCAGAGTGAGGAAGACTGCACTGCACAGGTTACAGGCATCCCAAGAGATGCCTGTGCTTTGTGTGTATACGTGTTCTTCCTTTGTTTTTAAGTTTTATTGGCCTATAGTTGATTTACAAAAAAATTATGCATACACTCTTGATACCATCATCACCAACAAAGTGCTAAACATACCCATCACCTCCAGAAATTTCCTTGTGTTCTTCCGTATTTTGGAGCATTCTTTTTTGTATGTGTGCTGTAGGAATTGATTTGAGGTCTAGCCTTTTAATATCAAGTGTACAACGCTGTGTAGTTCACTGTAGGTACATATTGCCCAGCGATCCTCTAGGACTTCTTCAACTTGCACAACCGGAACTTTGTTACCCATTGAACAAGAGCTCTGTATCTCCCTCCCCACAGTTCCTGGCAACCAGCATTCTATTCTCTGCTTCTTTGGAGACAGACGAGAGCGCCTGACTCTCCCATTTTTCCATGCTGGCTGACGGGGCATGCGGCTTGGCCAGCAATTGTTGTGCCCCTCCCCCTTGCCTCCCTCTGCTCCCCAGAGGACTGAGACAGTCTGCCACCCTCCACTCCAACAAGAGCGCAGTCAGTTCAGCTGTTGCCTTTTCGAAGAAGGGAAGGAGCACCCTGGTGTGGCTAAGATCAGAAAGAGCGGGCTCTGGGCCCCTGCTTTGCATACCCAACCTTCACAGAAAGCCTTCCAGGGTTCTCTGGTTCAGCCCTCCCGCTCGCTGACACAGGCCTGCGGCTGTTACATAAGCAGCATGCCCCTAGCCACTTCTTAGGGTTAGTCTAAGCGGGCTCCCTCCTGGATACGGACCTCCCTGTGCGGCAGCACAGGCTCTGTTAAAGACTCGCTTTGGTGTTCCCGTAAACCTGCTAGTGATTGACTTCTCAGGCGGTGTGAGCTCCAAAAGTTTTGTAAATCTACTGGGGATTTTTATCTTCAGTAGGGTGGACAGAACTGGCCATTTCAAAAGAAAGAGTGAGGAACACTTGGCACTGAAGACCAGCGGAGACCAGCACCTGGTAGAGTCAACCTGTAGTGTCCATCGCAAGCCAGCATTAGGTGGTGACAGCTGGCAGTGGCAATAACCAACAGCTGGCCGTGTCAACTGCCAGCACCCAGCACTACCTGGCGACATCGGGACTGCTAGCAGAGCTACACACTTTGCTGATCCAGAATCCCCACCTGGACCAAAGAACCCACGGCTGATTTGCAACACGTTGAGTATAACCATTTTAGTTACCTTGCGCAGGTGGATACCCTGCACTCTCCCTTTACTGTACTTACAAGGGTCAGCCTAGGCCAGAATTTCTCAATAATCTCTCATAGAATCATATAGGATACCCCAGCCCCTCCCCCTAAAATATGAACGCTTTGAACCTCTAAATTATAAATTTTACAACCTCCCAGAATGAGAGCGGGATGTACACATTTTGGAAACTAGGCAATTGTGTTGTGCAAATCTGATAAGAACCACTGAATTCGAAACGATGAGCTCTGACATCTAACTGCTCAGGCCCACAATCCCATTTGGCTGGGGCCCCAGCGAAGAGGTCAAAAGGCCAATCTGCCAGGACTGGCATAATTGGGGACGTCCCTAAGCAAGGCCCGATTAGCTGTGCAGTGAAGCCCATTGTTCAAAAGGACAAGGCAGCAGACCCCAGGGCCACGTGGGCTGCACACACTCACTCCACCCCCAGCACAAGCCTGTGGCTGCCACCAGCAACTTCAGCTTGAAAGGTCGACAGGGTACCTTGTGAAGACACTGATGAGCCAGGGGCGGAGTCAGTGAGGCCAGCGGTGTGCAGAGAGCAAGCAGCTCCTTACAAAGGTTTGTTGCTGCGAAATAATCACTAAATAAAATGGACCCCAGCCTCACTTTCCTCTTCAACAGGCACCGCTGAGAATGTTTGTACTCGAATGACAAGCATTTTACAAATAGTACCAGAAGATTTGGTTAACAACCTGGAGGGGGGAAGGGAGGAGTTAACTAGATCATAGCACTGCTCCATACACATCAACTTGAGTGGTCTTTAAAAATCAGATTGTTTAAAAGGAGATAAATATTGGTGAATATCTACTTGTGGATGGAAAAGACCAAGCTTAAAAAGCAAAACAAACTACAAAGGGATGATTGGGATTCCACAGTGAATGTTTTGAGTTCAAGGTCATCAGAAACCATTGTAAGCAAAAGGAAAACAACATGTTAAGAAAATACTTGTGACAAATTTGATCTCCAAAATTATCTTGAAATATAAATCAAAAACTATCCACCTGGTTACTCATCCTTTGATATTCAGCCCATGCTTCAGACCTGACCTGAGACCACCTAGATGAATCAGAACTTGACCTAAAAGGTCATGAATCCATGGCAGATTCCTACAACCCAGCAAGAAAATATGTATCTGTCGTCTGTTAGAGAAGCCTCTTAATTTTCTTGGAAACCAACCTGAAAGATTGGGTCAGATTTGGGAGCAAAGATTTTGTCTGTCCAGCTAGTGCCCCAACTCCTATACAAGCAGCTCCTAAGAAGAGGTCAGGACTCCCCAGAACTCAAGGAGCAGGGCCTCAAGTCTATCACAATGTTCTGCCCATCATGTAGTTTCCAAATCATAACCCTGGGAAGTCATCTGTACTGAGAATGCTGGATGGCTGATGCCTATTCTCTTCACAGCTAGGGACAGAAAAGTGTAAGTGATGGAGGACTAATTTGAGACTGAGACTATCTCTGGGGTGTAGCTGTTGAGTGCACAGATTGGACGCACATTGTTATGGTTTGTGTCTGGGTGTTCCCCCAAAGCCTCATGCAGTCATGGGTGTGGGCTTCTAGAATTTGATTGACTCATGGTCCAATGCTGGGATTATGGGTGTGAATGCTTCACCTGCCCTGGGGCAGGTAGCCTGCGTACAACAGATGGGAGGGAGAGTCCTCTCTTGCTCCTCCCTTTTTGCTCCTGTTGCTTTTGCTGTGTTCTACCGCCATGAACTGTTACTGTTGCCCTCTGCCATGTGCCACTCTGCCTTGGAGCCAGCCGAGTATGGACTGAAACCTCCATAAACTGTGAGCTAAGTAAATCTTTCCTTCAATTTTGGGCATCAGGTATTTTGTCTCATCAATGAGAGAAAAGTAACCAAGATACACTTGTTCTCATCCAGGCCTCAACTTTGCCACATCTGCAAGACACTAAACACTGGCTCTTGATTTTGGCAATCAATAAGCTAAGCAATCATAGAAGTTCAATCAAAATTTTTTTACCTGCTTAGAAAGGGCTTGAAGGGTATGGGGAAGGGTTGAAAGTGAAAGTAAACCTAAAATAAAAGATGTCTTCCGGTAACACTGCCTGTGGCAGCACTGTGGGGTGCAGTGCTGGTTTAAGTCTTGCTGCTGTCTGGAAGGACAGGGCGGGGATGGTAGTGGTAATAATGGAACAAAGGGTGATAAAAATTGCTGTCATTCTGTATTACACCACAATTGTAGACATAGCACTATGCATTTGTCAAACGCAGAGGACTACACAACACAAAGCATGAACCTTACTGTAAGCCGATGATGTAGAACATTCCTGACAATATCCTAGCATTGTCCGCTGTAGCCCATGAACCACGCTGAGGCACAATGTTAATGACAAGGGAAACTTGCAGGGCCAGAGGGGGTTACAGGAAACCCCTATGCCTCCTGTTCTTCCTCATCAACCTAAAACCACTCCAAAAAATGCAGTCGGTTCCTTTAAAATAAAACACATCTTATTCTTTCTCAAACACAAGCACTAGAAAATTTCTATTTGAATGTCCCATTGGAAGGAAGATAATGAAAAAATAAGTCAGGAGCTGAGAAGTGCTGTGACCATAAACATTGCTTAAATACTCTTCGCCCCCAGAGCCCCCCCAAAAGGATCAGAGGTGTACTTCATTGGTGTAGTTCAACCAGGTATTTTATTGGTCTGGCAATTGCAAAATATACAAATTTCTCAAAGGCATTCCCTGTCTGAAAGCCAGCAAAGCTTCAACCCAGGTCATTAATTCAGACAAATATACAGAACACAGAGAAGTCAGAAGTCACACATCGAAGGCCCCCAAACCAACTGACAATTAAACTCCATCTATACAGCTTTCTATTTTTAGGCTCCCTTATACATATTAAATAAATAAATAGCACATCTGCTATCAAAATAATAAAAAAATAAATTTCAAGTATTACAAACGAAAATATCATTGGTGTGGTTCAAACAGTTTTTCTTCGCCCCCAAAAAGAGCTTTGTCCATGGTGAGAGAGGGAAATTCACTCAAAAACATATGCAAAGTTTAAAAAAAAAAAATTGGTCCCAGTTCTATTTCATTTTATTTTGCAGAGGAGGGAGAAGAGAAAACCAGTAGACGTACAAGTTCCGTGACTACAGCTCAGCCCCCAGCTCCATGCCTTCTCGAAGGCAGCTCGCTGGCTTTTCAGGGAAGCAGAAAGCCTCCTCCTCCACGGCCTCCCCCATTTACCTTTACCAAAATGAAGTCCCATGCTAGGCCAGGCCTCCTTCACGTCTGTACTGACTTCGGGTCAGCAGGGGTAAGAGGGGCCCACACCCTCCCGAGCCCTTCTCTGCGTCAGACTTGAGAGTCTGTATTAACACAGAGAGGATGAAGCCAGAAAGTGACAAGTAAGAACCGGTCTCAGGAGCAAAGGCGCAGGCTCCTCAGGTGAGAGACACCAGCAACCTGCACGCGGCCTGCCAAGATCCAGGACAGGGGCGGGGAGGGAAAAGCCCAAGTCTGAAGCTGCCCAGGAATGAGATTATACAAATACATAGCACTTCTCTCCTCTGGCAGCCTGCCAGAGCAAAGGGGATGGGAGGGAAGGGAGGATCTGAACGGTTCGGTGGGAAGACACGAACTTGATGGAACAGAATCTGACCGATGGACATCCCCACTTCCCACTTCATCCCAATTAGAGCAATGTGTTCCTTCATAGCTCCTCTCAAGCAAACAAAAATAGTTCTTCATCCCCAGCTTCGGGCATGTTCATCCTCCACCCTCATCCCAGGACCTGCCCCCTTGAGCTGGGAGGAGCAGTCTCTCTGGACTCACAAGAAGACAGGAAGAAGGGCCGGGGATGCAGCTCAGCGGCACAGCGCCTGCCTGGCAAATGCAAGGTCCTGAGTTTGATTCCCGGTACCAGAAACAAGCAGGAAGGAAAACACATAACCTTTGGTACCAGCTTCGAGACATCCTTGGAAGGGTTACTGTATGAACTGCACTGCTGTTTCCAAAGGGTTTCCTCTAGACACAGACATCCTCTCCTGCCCTGGTATCTGAGGGGACGAGGGAGGGAAACGGGACAGGCAGAAACTACAGGAGTCTAGAACCCCATGTCCCATCAGCCTGGCTTTTCAGTCTCTGCAAATGGCACGGATGCCATAAAGACAAAGCAGGATGACAGTCTACTCCACTGAATCCCCAGGGTCAGGTGTACAGCCTGATGCCAGGAATACAGCGCTCAACAAAAGCACGATCCTTGCCTGGGCCGTCATCCCTCCCTGGGAAACACGGGCGGCAGGTAAGGAACGGCCCGGAGGAAGGGGGCCAGGTGTTCCCTACAGCATCTCAGTTGATCTTGCAAGGAGGGCGCCAAGCTGCCCCATTTCACAGGTGTGTCCAACTCCTCACCTCACAGGCGCCAAGGCCCCCCGGGCCTAACACCCTCACATCTACCGCGAGTTCCTGAAGAGAAGGTGTGACCTTTACATCACACTTCTGCCACAAAAAAGTGCAAAAGCAAACAGCTCCGAGAGAGCAATTCACTCAGGGTACCTCGAAGTCCAGGTAGGAGAACAAAGGATGCTCAGAGCTCCCTGGAAGAGGGAGGCCCCAGCTATCCTATTTCAGCAAAACACATCCTCTGCCTATGCAGCCAGCCTGTCCCTGAATTCAGGGCTGGGACAGTGTGAGGACACGTGGGGGAGCCAGGGCAGGTCACTGCTCAGCTGCCACGGCCTTCTCAGGAGAAGGGGTCCCAGCTCAGCCTGTACCCACGTCCCTTTGCACAGCACCTCCCCAGGCTGAGATGCCCAGCGGAGCCATGCAGAAATTTTCAAACAGGCCTAGGCTTTGGCCTTCAGCACTTAGGATCTAGTCTCCTCTAGTTTCAAGATGCTTTGCCAGTCTTGCCTCCTCAGCTAGGATCGTACCAGGGCAGGATCACGGAAACAGCACGGCACAGCAGGGCCCAGCGTCCCCCTCTCAGGCCTCTCTCAGCTCCTCCACGACGCTTCACCCTCCCACGCCTTGGGGCGGGCACCAAACTGCCCTGGAAGACCCAGGAGGGCGGAAGGTGGGGAGGCTGGCAGCTCACTGCCGAGGACGCAGTGATCCACACGGCTTCCTGATGTCTCGGCCATTCTGATGCCACGGGGGTGTAGCTGCTCTTCACCCAGTAGATCCCCCCTCGCCACTCATTCTGGTGCAGAAGTCCTTGGGACTACTTCGGCCTCGGGCCTTGGGCAGATGGGAGGGCACAAGCTAAGCTGCAGAAATAGAAGTGGAATGGAACGAGATGTGTCTGCTTCATTCAATGTTTCCTGGACGAGTCGGCGCCACTCCGGGAGCCTTTCATGTTCTGTTTTCAGGAGAAAGAGGGGCAAGGGAGGGAGTCAGGATTTGCTGTTCACTGTACTTCAAAACACAAGGCTCAAAGCCATGCCACTGAGACCCCTGCCCCCCCCCCGCCGCCCCAAACAACAAACAAACCCCAGAGAATGTCATCACAAAACAGGTGGAAGAGCTCAGGGAGGTCCCAGAACATGAGAAGGGGCCAGGCATGAGCCAGGAGCCTGCTTATCACCAGGCCATTTTCCTGCCGGAAAGAGGGAGGGAAGGAAGGTGGGACAGGCATGTGGCTGGGAACCCTGCAGTCCTGGTGGGTTAGACGGGGCTAAGAGAACAAGGGATCCCAAGGAGCCCTCTTAGGTGCCGGTGGAGCCTGGTGCTCACACTCCTTTACAAGTCCAGAGCTGCTCTCAGCACATACGGGGCCCCCATTGGTCACAGCCAGGTGGAAGACAGCTGAGAACCCCCAAGGCCACATCTGCTCCTCCTCTCAACTCAGCTAGGGGAGGCTCGCGCTCAGCTCCCGTACCCAGACTCAGGGTACACGGCTGGACAGAACACAGGTGATGGGGGGGGATGGCCGGATACGGTGAGGAGGTCCAGGTGAGAAGCCAGGCATAGGAGAACAGGCGGCCGTGTCCTAAATCTCCACCCGAGTCCTGACCGACGTGACCTAGCAGGAAGCCTCCCCCACAAGATTCTGACTCACGTTAATGCCTTCTTTTAAAAATGTTCTTAAAGCAGCTGGGGACATATGTTTGCTGCCACTGCACAGCAGGGGTCTCTCCCTAAACTCCCTCATCTTCATCTACCCCACAAAAAAGTATCCTCTCCACTCCTGTCTCCACCAAGACTGCTCTACGAGGGGCAGAGGAGCGAGCAGGACCCAGGCAGACAGGTGCGCAGGGGTCGGCTCCGCCACTGTCACCCGCAAGACTTCGCCCCCGGCTACAGACTCAACAGGTTGGATGGCACTGGAGCCACCACTCGGCGTTGGGTGGGACAGGACTACAGGCAGCCCGAGCCCCCGTGGGTCCCCTCCCAGCTAGAAGGATACCCCCCCAAACGCCAGACAGGTGGAAAGTAGGAACTGCCACTTCCCTCTACAACAGCTGGCGCCAACCTGCCCTGGGACACTACAGGCTTCCGGCACCCACAGGAGGACAATGCAACAGTAACACCGAGAGCCCACGTCCTACACTCGTGGCGCCCCAGGCTCGGGACACTGGGAGGGAGAGAAGACAGACGGGAAAGGACCTCACGACAATGGCACTGCTTGTAAAACCGTCTGGCATGGACACATGAGCACATGTTCCACAATGGCCAGTCGGCACACAGACCAAGATGCCCTACGGCTGAGATGCCATGACTTAGAGATGCAGGAGAGGACACAGGGACATGCAGCCAGTCATTTACCTTTCCAAGGTTAGTAAGGAGAAAACTTTGAGAAAATGTGACAAACAGTTCGTCTTTCAAGCATAGTGGGGAAGAGGAAAAAAAACAGGTTGGGAAAGAAAAAAATCTTTTAGTAGTGTTTTTTTGGTGTGAGTTTGAAATTTTAAAATGAAGGATGTACTGTGAACGTCAGGCGGTCACTCCATACCAGCAGCTACCACAGCCCCCAGGAGGGCACCGCAGAGCTCAGGGTCCAGGCTGTGATCCCCATTTCACCAGCAAACCAAGGCCACCAGCAACACGCCTCAGGGCTTCCCTCCTCCCAAATCTGAGCTCCAGCTGCTCAGGGGAAGAAACCCCACTGACATGGGGCAGAAGGAGCTGGGAACCAAAGTGCAGACTCAAACCCAGGCAGCCAGGGAGCACGACCACTGAAGCCTGGGCACCAAGGCCCTCCCTGATGACAGCGGGGGCCACTGCCCGTCAGGTCCTCTTAGGTGCCACCAGGTACACTGCCACGTGTCTTTTGTTTTGTTTGTTGTTTTGGCTTTGAGACAGGTTCTCACTATGCAGTCCAGGCTGGTTATGAACTCACTACGGAGCCCCAGCTGACCTTGAGCACATGGCAATCCTCCTGCCTTAGCCCCCCAAGTACTGGGATCACAGGTGTGTGCCACCACGCCCGGCTTAAGTGTCACATCTCTACTCTCAATAGTAAAACCCTTAAGTTTTCATTCTCCATTTTACAGGTAATGAGGTTGAGGTCCTAGAATTGCTTTAAATTGCCCAGAGTTCCAAAGACTGTGGACATTCATAGAACCAAGATACAAACCTGTCTTGGTCCGACTTTAACAATACATTTTGGTCTAAGGGTCCAGGTCACTTCCTAGAATCAGATGTATCTATGACCCAAGATGTGGGGTCCTATTCCACTCTGGGACAACAGTGTGGAATTCTGACCAGAAAGAAGTGCAACAGGTCTCTAAGATATAATTTTGTTGATCTGGAGGGCTTCTAGCCAAAAGCACTCTTGGAATTACTTGGAGATAGACTAGTCTGCTTCAGAAGGGTAGGGGAGTGAGTCTAAATGGCACCCTCACAGCAGGAAGATCGCTTCAAAGAAATAGGATAAACCAGGTGTTGTAACACACATCTATAATCCCAGCACCGAGGCAGAAGGATCACAAGTTTGAGCCCAGTTTAGGCAATGTAGCACCTTAGTGTGACCATGTCTCAAAATGAAAAATAGTAATAATAAATTTAAGAGTTGGGAACGTAGCTCAGTGCAAAGGCCCTGGGTTCAAGTCCCAGTGCCATGAAAAGAATAAGAAATGCACACATACAGAACCATAAACTCCAAACTCAAAAGCTACTTTTCACACAGGAGAAGCCCTGATCCACAAGTAGCCCATGTGCTCAAAGGCTGGCTCCAAAGGACCAGACACTGGATCCTGAGGATGCCTTACTGAGAAGTTAATGGATGGGCCCACTGTCAGCCATGGGACGCAGCTGCAGGTGAGAGGCTGCGGGAGCTAAAAAGACCAACAGCAGCTGGCAGTACCTCTTTGGTGGCAGGGACGCTCTCCCAGCTGTTCCCAGGGGCTGGCAGGGAGAAAAACACCAGCCCCCAGAAGCAGGAGGCCCAGGTCTCAATTGTGCTTCTGTTCCTACTGGCTGGATGGCCATGGCCTCACCTATTAAACAGGGAGGAACTGCTCCACCCACATCCTGGGGTTATTTAAGGATCAGAGTCAACAGGCATGGACCATCTCTTTGTGAGCTCTACAGCCCTAGAAGTAATCTGACTGTGTGGTTCTAGCACAGTCCAGGCACGATGCCAAGCTACTCCTGTTTTCCAAGAATAACCCGCGTTTTTCAGCTCATCCCTGGATGAGCTCAACCCTTCCCACTTTCTGCATAAACTCCTCCAGGTAACTTAATGAGCAAAAGGGAATAATGGGAAGGGTGGCTGTAATAGGAAGGCCGTGGCTCCTTCTCTAGCTGGGGACCAACAGAGAAGCAGAGACGCTGTATTATCTACTTAGTCACTGCCAGAGCGATGCTGAACCAGACACTCCAGCCAAAGAAGGCCAACCCTACGGGCCTGGTACAAAGCTGGACCCACTCCTGCCTGTGATTTATGGCTGAACGTGTTCTGACAGAGGACAACCAGCTCTCTAAGGAGGTTTCCACACAGACCTCTCAGGAGAGGGCGGGGTTGCCATCAGACCACACTCCCCCGGGGTATATCCTTTTCCTGCAGGCTCTGGCTAAATTTCCCTTTCAGAATGAAAAATGCTTCTCTGGGAAGGGAGGATGCTTAAAGGGCAATGACAGCAAGCCAAGGCCTAGCTGTCACCAAAATCTGACCCTAAGAGGGACCCCCAGACCATGACCCATGCAGGTAACACCTCAAACCCCGAGAGGGACCTCGGAGAAGCGAACATGCCACACTGCCACTTCCATCCCCCTCTACCACCTTCATGAATTCCCTTCTCCCTCCTCCCACGTTCGTTTCATCTCCTACTCCCTGGTAGAAGACCTGAGACTGCACAAAAACTGTCCTCATCCTCAATATTTTAAGAGGCAGGAAGCCAAATGAACAAGCAAAACAGAAAGAGTGCAAGCAGCAGAATTATTCGGAAATACTTACAGACAGGCTTTCCCTAGCAAAGGCTGCAGGAGGAAAAGAGAGAGAGAGAGGGAGACAGAGAGAGATACCAGTCAGGAGGCTGTGTGTGACCTCGGGGAACAGCCCTGGCAAACCTCCCGCTCCCAGCCCAGCCAGAGGCCCCCAGGTTGCCCTCAGGACTCAGCAGTCCTGGAGGACTGTCCTGTGAAGTCCAGGCAGCTCTGAAGACAGAGAGGACGGGACGCTGCCACAGTGCCCTACCCAACCAGGGTCAGTGACGCACCCCCACCCAGCCACGTACCCCCTAAACGTCCAAATAAGCCCTCCCAACGCACAAGGATAGAATATCACGGACACACTATTTTAGCTGTGCTTGGTTTTCATTTAAAAGCCCTCAACCTGAGACGTAAGGGAAAATTTATCACAAGTCTCCTAGTCCTAGGCCCCATTTACAAAGCTAAGGGGACAGAGGGCAGGAAGGTGAAGTGACCGTGGCATTAAGATCCTTCACATGTGCTAATGCTGACACGATACCCAAAGCCAGGCTGACCACTACCGTCTCACTGGACACGGTCCTATGCGTGCCACACCCCAGATTACACGCGTGGCGTGACTCGCCTCGTCTGATCTGCCACCTGCAGTAGGCAGTACCCCTCCCGTGGATGACAAAACTGAGGCTCAGCAAAGTCACACGACTGACAAGAGGCCACAGAGCACTCTCCCCCGTGACACTTCAGACCAGGGAAGGCAAGAGGAACTGGTGGGCTGCAAAGCCCCAGGGGTGACTTGGTGTTATGGTTTGTGTCTGTGTGTCCCCCCCAAAGCTTCATGGGGTCATGGGGCAGGCTTTTAGAGTTTGACTGATTTTGGGTGTGAGAGCTGCACCCACCCTGGGGTGGACAGTTTGCATATGTAAGGGAGAGCAAGAGGCTGCTTGAGGCCATTCCTGGCTTTTGTGTTTGTTGCTTTGTTGTGTTCTGCCGCCAGGAGCTGTAGCCCTCTGCCATGTGCCACTCTGCCTTGTAACCTGCCAAGTATGGACTGAAACCTCCACAAACTGTAAGCGAAATAAACCTTTCCTTCCTTAATTTTGGGCGTCAGGTATTTTGTCCCAGCAACGAGGGAAAAGTAACCAAGACGCCTGGCAAAGAGCTCATGAACAGTTCGCCTCGAGGTTCAGCCTGCATTGACGTGTAAGAGGCCCGGCACTGAGGTTCCGGGCGGAGCCCCAATTGGAGCCCCGAGTTTTCGCACCTTACTACGTATTTGCAAATGATCTTGACTATCTTTCAGAAAATGACCTGTTTTTCGGAAAACAAATCTTAATACCCAATTGCCAAAATCTTTCCACTTTAAGTCCTCCAAGCTAGTGAAATCTCGTGGGGTTGGGTTTTATCTTGGTTATTACCACCTGGTGGAATACTTCTGTTCGTGGAAAGAGGCTCCTTCCCAGTTATCCCAGTTGACAGCCAGGCTATCTGGTTCTAGGGGACCTTGCTGGCTCCAGGTGCAGCATGGGCTCCAGGGCTCGTGCTTTCCTTTCATGTGAGTGATTGCCGGAGAGAGACCAACAACACACTCAGCAATGGGGTGAGACAGGAAAGATGCCCACAGCCAGGCCCGTGGTGCACTGTCATCCCAGCACTCAGGAGGCTGAAGCAAGAGGACTGCCACGAGTTTGAGGCTGCCATGGGCTGCAGAGTGAGTTTAAGGCCAGCCTGAATTACATAGTGAGACCCCGTCTCAAAAAAAAAAAAAGAGCCCAAGGTCCAGAAGTAGAAACTTCTACACTGGGGGACCAACGTAGAATTGTTTTAGAAATAACTGCTCACCGGTGTGAACAGGATTTAGACATTTCACTCTCTGCAGCTCTGCCCGGTTCTGCCCAATAAAGACCACAACATCAGAAAGGACACACATGCAGACACAGGCGTCACGGGCAAAGGTCTTCAGGAAGGACTTCTCATGTTCCAACACCTGTGCGCATACACACACACACCTACAACACAAGGGCACTCATACACATACTGACCACAAACACACACGCACAGTCTGAGGTCACTGCCCCTGGGCACTCTTCCCCAAGGCAAGAAGGAAAGGGGAGTCACTGACTTGTCCGGGCAGCTGCGTGGGCACCTCCGGGGGCAGGCAGCTGGGCAGGGCGGCAGAAGTGGAAGCCACATGCTCCTCAAAGCTGTTGATGCGAGGCTTTTTGGTGGGCTCGGGGCTGGCTAGTGGGGTGACACTATTGCGTCTCATGAGCGGGTTAGGACCCTTCTTTGCGTCCTAAGCAAGACAAAGACAAAAGAGAGAGGGAGACAGTTATAAGGAAGGGAAGAGAGGTAGATAAGGCACAATACAGTTCCCTGCCCCTGGGTTTCAGGGTGACAACTTCATGGACCAAGGCGCATGACAGGGGACCCTGGGCTGCCTTGTGTGCCGCGACTGATGCCAGCTGGTGACGGGGTGCCGCCCTCCCACGTCCTTCCATGGACCATCCCAGAAGGCACCACACAGATAAAGGCGGCACGTGCAAAGCAGGGAGCGAAGTGATTAGAGGCAGAGCAGAGAAGGAAGTCAGAGAAGACAGCCTTGCTTCCAGCCCCAGGAGGCCCAGGAGGGGAGCCCCGAGGGCAGAGGTAGGTCTGAGGATCCCAGCAGGGGAAGCAAAAGGTGTTGGCACTGACTCCCTTCTATCAGATCTCTTCTTCTAGGCTTTGCAGTGCGCAGGCACATCCAGGAACAGTCCCTGCTCACACACGATACTCTGCTTATGCATGGGCCACGGAGGCGTCAAGCCAGCCAGGAGACCATAGACGCAGAAACGGGGCAGGAGGCAGAGGCCACCAGCCAGGCGCAGACAGCGCCATGACAGGCGCGCGAGCCCGAGAGCGCCTGTGGAGCGCAGCCCGCAGCCTCCGAGCCAAGGGGTAGCTCTGCTACAGTCCCGCCCCGCTGCAAGGAGGTGAGAGCACTGGAGCCCAACTAAAGCACAACACCCTGCCGGAGCAGCAGGCAGCAGCTAAGCCAGGGACGTCGTCACCTGGCTCAAGTGAGCACAGCTCCCGCCACCCTTGTTCGCGGGGAGGGGGCCGCAGGGGCAGGGCATGGCGGCCAAGGGACACCATCCGCTTTCATTTCGGTCCACAGGAGAAGCCGAGCAGTAAAGTGGCTGACAGCTCACGTACTATGAATGCCAAAATCTCTTGGCCAACCTCTCGGGGAATACGGAAGTCACCTGCTCAGGGGACTCCAGGGACAGAAAGTCGCGCTCTGTGTAGGAGGATGTCCGATTATATTGGCAATGACTATACTGCGGTATTCTGACAGCCTATATAAAGCAAAGGCAGACCCACTCTCACGGTGCACACCGGGGCATAGATCCAGCCTGCTTAGGAAAGTGCTCCATGCCCTGCCCTCCATCTCAGACCAGCCCAGAGCAGAAGACAGCGACAAGCAGGCACAGGGCTCCCGAAAAGTCTTCTCGCTGGCTGGCCCTCGTGTCTCCCGGCCTCCCGCCCCCGCTCCTTTCCTAAGGCTGGTAAATTCTTGCTTATTCTGAACCTAACACGTGCAGATGATCATGCCAACTGGCTGATCCTGTTTGATCGGGGGTGCTGGAGCTTCAAAGCATAGGGTGAGTTGCCCGAAAAGACAGCAGTAACTGTGCTCGGGTTCTGTTTAGAGGCAAAGAATGTCCTCCTTCAAAGCTCACTTCTCAGCTCACAAAACAGGGGACAGAGGAGCATGCAAGGAAAGGAAAAGAGGAAGAAAAGACGCGGAGAAGCCACAGAGAAACGGCGCAGGAGCACTGAGGTGCTACCCGCAGCAGCCAGAGCCAACAGGCTACTCGGGTGAGAGCCCGGCTAACGGCACCCGTCACAGGCCTTCCCCAGGTCCCTGCACATCCCAAGTGACGGGGGCCAGGGTGCGGGTGCCGGGGGCAGCACTCACCTCTGACCTCTCCCGGTGTGTGCTCACGGACTCCACGTTCAGGTAGATGGACTCCACACGGCAACCTGCGGGACAGGGGATGGGAGAGGACAGCCTGTTAAAGCACGGCCTTGCCTGCAGCCCCATGGCCCCCCAGGCAGGGCTCGGCAAGGGTGCTACTCACCATAAGCGACAGGTGTCAGTTTCAGAACGGTGTGAAGGGGACATTTCAGGTAGGGCATCTCCTCTGAAAAGAGACAAGTGGTCCCACAATTACATATGAAACTCTCTAGGGAGGTGTGAGGGGGCATCTCTGGGCCCACCATGACAGCTTCTGCCATGACAGACCCCAGACGCTGTGCCCACATGCAGGGCCCTGCTCCCCCAGTACACAGACCATCCTGTCCAGGGGAGAAGACTCTAGAAAAAAAATACCTTGCCAAAAGAACACAGGCCAAATGAACCAAAGCACCCACTTTCACAGAAGTAGTTATTTTTTTGTTTTTTTTGAGACAAGATCTTGCTATGTATTCCAGATTGGCCTCTGCCTCACAGAAATCATCCCGCCTCAGCCTCCCAAGTGCTGGGATCACAGGCATGCGCCACCACACCCAGCTAAGTTAAGTTTCTTTAAAAAGTGGAGGCTTCAAACTTGGAGGCTTTCTAAATTATTTTTTAATAATTTCCCAAACACTTTAGGTCTGTCTAGTGATTCAGCTGAAACTTTGACAGACGTAACACTCAAAGTGTCAACAGCATCATTCCATTTCCATTCTGACCTTGGAGGTAGGGTGATGACAAAAGCTGCCTCTACGTCCAAGCCAAAGACCCTTAGATGTGCAAAGGATGAGGGCTCTGAGAGAGCTGTGTTATCAGCTGGCAAACCCTCTGGACATCGCATCGTGCTCACAGCATTTCCTAAGCGCTGCCAAGGAGGCACTGGCCGGACAGCACTGACCAGCAGGCTGTGAGCCAGGCCTTCAGCCAACCTTTCCTAACATCTGCCCTCGGAGCAGGGTGAGTAATACCGGGTCCTTGGCCATACACTCTCAAGGGCCAACTTCACTCCCCCTGCTTCCGAGGCCACGCCTGCCCGGCAGTACCTGCACTCTTATCCAGGAAGTAGGCCAGCAGGCAGCGCAGGACAGCCTGGTGGCAGATGACCAGAACATTCTCCTGGCGCTCCAGCTCCATGATCACCGGCTCCAGGCGCTGGACCAGGTCCTGGTAGGACTGAATACACAGGACAGGACATGGCATTAGAGCAAGGGCATTGGGGGAGAACCTGCCACGGTCCCTAGTCTCCCGTCATCACAGTCAACCCATCCGCGGTCCGTCAATCCCCACGCACACCTCCGAGCGCTCAGCTCTGCATCAGTGAAATCATCTTAAGAGATCACAGACCGGCCGCCTCGCTGGTCTTTCGACTGCTCTCCAGGGCTGGGAGGCAGGTGCCACAAGGAACATGACTGGCCACAAAAAGCAGTAAGGTCTTGACACGCCCCAGCATGGAAGAACCTCAAAATCTCTTACACAAAAGTCCACATATCTTGCCTGATTCCACTTTTGTGAAATATCTAGACTGGGCAAGTCCACAGAAAAAGTAGATTTATGGTTGCCAGGAGCAGGGGGCGGGGGATTTGGACTGAGTGCTGACAAGTCTGAGGTTTCTTTTGGGAGGGAAGAAAATGTCCTGGGATCAGTGGTGATGGGGACACGGCACTGTCCATTCCGCTGACCCTCCTCTCTGTGGGGTCCACAACCACTGAAGACTGAAGTGTTAAAAGGACTCCATCTGTACTGAACATACAGGGCTTATTCTTCTGCTCATTATTCCCTAAACAATACGACGTAACAACGGTTTACCTAACGTCTACAGTGCAGTAGGCATTACGAGTGATGCAAAGGTAATTGTACACAGGGCCGTGTAGGTTATATGCCGATAATTACATAAAGGACTTCAGCATCCACAGATGTTGGTATCTGCAAGTGTCCTACCACCAATCCCCTGAGGACACCAAGGGGCAACTATATTCTAAAAACCAGAGTCGAACCCTTTAGCATAGTTATAAATCATGAATTTTGTTCAATGACTTTTGTATCCATTAAGAAATGTAAAAAGAAGGGGTAGAGTTGGGATCTTAAACATCAAAGCTCCTACTCCCCCTGGGGCCTCCTGCACCGTCCTTCCTTCTTCTCCTGCCCAAGGCCGCAGCGGGTGAGGGCCAGCGTGGGACAAGAGCACAGCAATCTGGTCCCTCAGGGACTGAGGCTGGCAAACGCTCAGAAGGGCACACGCAGGAAGGACGCCCGCCGGGTGTCAGCACACCCCTGGCTGCGCTCCCAGAGGACCACGCGACTCCACACTCTCTGCTTGCAGGGCCACAGTGAGCGACGCGGCAAACGGCCTCTACACGGTGAGCTCAGACCCCAGCACCAGGGGTGTGAGATGACTTCCTCAAAGCTGGCCCGTCTACCCCCTGGTCTGCAGCCCTGCGGAAATCCCTTGCCTGGAGGGACTTACGTGTGTGTCAGAGACCCAGACACACCCCTCGTGTTTCCATACAGGGAAACAACTACTTCTCTCTTAAGGTTGTTTACAGGCTGCACCGAAGACTCCAGTCCGCAGGGGCGGTGGTAGGAAGCGGGCTGCAGAACGGGTCAGGACGGGTGAGTGGGCAGTTGCTGACTGGTAACAGGGTCCACCTGGCCCCACACACAGCACACACCACCTCCTCCCAGCCATGATCTGGCAAAGGACAACGGGCGCAGCCCACAGCCAACAGACAGCGGCACAGGAGCAGCGCGCTCACCTCCCCAGTCGGGTAGCGGTAGTAGTATTTGTCCTGCTCACGCAGCATGTACTCCTCAGGGTACGTGTCTCTGATCTCCTCGTAGGTCAGCTCCTCACAAACGCCCTGGTGGAAACACTACACTTACTCGAGGGAACATACCAAAAGGGTCTGAAGGAGACCCTAGATGCCACCCAGAATGCCCGAGAGTGATTCTGCTGGACTTGAGGGAAGGCGCCCCACTCCCAGCCCAACCTCTGGGCCACACCATGTGGAACTCACAGCATCGATCTCATTGAGCGCCTTCCACTGCTCATAGGGGAGTTTCAGTGCTTCCGCTGTCTGGATGGTGCTCTTCAGCTGGCTGGTCCACACCCGGAGGTCCTTCAGGTTCTGCTCCTCGACAAACTTGCTCAGAGCGTTGGCGAACTGAGAACGGGGCGAGAGGGATGCTGGGAGCGTGCTCCTCCAAGAGGAAGGGCAGGGTGCTCACTCCCCACGTCAGGCTGGACTCTGTGGCCCAAGAGCCACCAGACACAGCTGACCACAACACACCCTCCCAGAGCCCAGAGACTTACAACTCTGCAGCCCCTTCCCGTCCCACACGCATCACCATACATACACGCGCACACACACACAGGTACGAAAAGACACCTAGATGAACACGGTCAGGCAGCCACAGCAGAAACCGCACACCCCACGCACCTCTAGGACCCCACAACTCCCCCACGAGGGGAGCTGGTCGCCCTCCTGGCACCTGTCAGCCCAGGCCCTTCCCCTCCTCTGCTCCTACCTTCTTGCCTCTGCTGGACAGGCCCGAGTCACCCCCGATCTTGCCCTGCAGGTTGTATTCGTTCTCGCCGTGCCGACACAGGTAGATGGTGCGCGGCTGCACGTGGATGTTCATCAGATAGTACACGATCCGACTCTGGATGTGGTCCTGGACTCTGTTCACCAGGAACCTCCGGCCAACGTCGATCACTTTGATCAGTGACAAGTCCCTACAGAGAAATGCCACTAAGGACCAGCACTCTGGCCGCACTTACAGCGCAGCAGAACACCCAGCCTGGGCCGGGCCCACTTCCAGAGCACTTGGTGCCTAAGGTTAGACAATACATTCCTCCACGGCACAGAACGAGTCTTCCTCTCTGGAGTCAGAGAGCAAATCAAGGCAGTGATTCCCACTGCAGGGGACAGCAGGCCTCTCAGAGGAAAGGAGAGAAAAGCCAAGAATGGAAAAGAGAACGGAGGAAATCTAGGAGGCGACAAGACTGGACTCTCTGGACACTGCTGCCCCCCACGTACACAGAATGTCAGAGATATTTGTATTGAATATTGGTTCATAACTGGTGATTTTTTTAACAAGACATTTTTAAACAAATTCTTTGCGGGAATATCCAGAAAACATGAAAAGCCCTAATGTGAGTAACTCAGAAATGGTCACAGAATAACCTACCTGTCACTTTTATCAGGGTCGAGGGGCTGGTAGCTGGCTTCATAGCAATTGATTCTCTTCATGAAGTCGTCCATGGCTTCTGCAGAGTTGCAGTCTTTGTAATCAGGGCTGGAGATTTTCACTTCCTGCAACATCACAAAGAGGCAGCTGATGAATCACGCTGGAAGGCTTTCTGCTTAGATTAAGCAGGATTTGGGGCTTTCAAAAGGGGAAGCCCAAAAAGCTCACAATGAATATTATCCTACCCAGTGTATAAGAGAAAAAAGAAATTGGGGGTTGAGACACAACGCGGTGATTATGTGGGGAAGATGCTCAGGGAAGACAGAACTGCCGGCTGGATGGACAGACACAGGAAACCCGCAAGGATCCCGTAATGAACACCTCTGAGCAGACCAGAGTCAGGACCAGTCCAGTAACTGACTCACCACCAGACAGTCTGGCTCTAATTCAGCACAATCTCACATAAGCACTCGCTAAGCTCCTCACACCAAGTGCAGGTTGTTGGTAATAAAAGGTGCATTACCAGTTGCTACAAAATGCCCTTGACCTTGGGTGGACTCCTCTCCATCCACCCAGAGGCAGCACGTACACGGGCAGGTCTATGACTAAGCTCCCCTCCCTCTGCCTTCCTGGGTGGGGCCCCCACCTCTGTAACTGGCCAGGAGACCTGCGGAACCAGGTAGGTTCTAAAGAAATTCAGAATTTTTAATGTCTGTGCTTTTATTTCTCTTAGAAAACAGCCACACGGGTGAGGCAGCCACTCTTTAAAGACCCAATCCCCTAGGGAGTCTGTGTTTCACAGGTACAGACTTCTGGTGGGGCGGTGAAAGGACCTGGAGATGGGGGCGGGGCTGGGGGTTGGCGGCTACCAGCAACGTGAATGAACGTCACGCCCCTGACCTGGACGTAACCTTAACAATGGCTACAGTGGTAAATTATGTTACGTGTATTTCATACTTTTAAAGAAAGTACAAGTTCACAAATTCCTGGGTCTAACTTGCACAGTTGCTTTGAGGTTTAAAGAAAGACTTCTGAAAACAGGTCAGGATAAACATCGAGCTGTGTTAATGGACTAGAAGCCAGAGGATAACTTAGCTAAGCGCACTGGCGACTGCTCGCTGGGGAAAATGACCTCACCGCTGCACTCTGGTTCACTAACAAGTGAAACAAAAGCAAAACCAAAAAACCCACAGGATGTCCTTTTGTTTAGGTTATTACAACTTCTGTTTCCTTGTACCTTGAGCTTCTTCCTTTGGACCCACTGAAACTCATTTGAACTCATTTTCCTCAGTTCAAATTGCCCTTCCTAAAATAGGGACTCATTTCTTGGAAATGTTTGTAATTATTTCCACTGCCTTAGAGAAAAGAACCAGTATACCCCCCCTAGAGGTGAGCATTCGCATGCAGCAATGCCACAGCACTCCCTGCCTGTACAGAACTGCTCTCTTTATGAATGTCTTGTTCTGATTTACTTAAACTGGACAGAAAATAACCTGTAACAGAAGTAGGTGACCTGAGAGAAAGTCTTCATTTCATTCCAACCATTTCTGTCCAGATATATTGCTGACAAGTGACAAAATCAGAATCAATCAAATGCTGTTGCCACTGCCCCTCAGGTTAGGTGGGCGAGCTCCCTGTGTGCAGTGGAGACGATGAGGGGCGGCGTCAGAGGTCCATTAGGTCCCTTAGCAAGGACAGTTTCACAACATCCCCTCCTCCTAGACTTGGGAACTCTGCTGTGCACATACTGAGTCCGAGAGGGTTTGCTCATCAGGAACCTTAAGAGCAGAAAAGATCAGCCGGCTGCCTCCTGTCTCACCCAAGAGGGGAGCTGCCCCGTCCCCACTCAGCTGCCAAGCCGCTGCCCCCTGCAGAAACTGCGCCAGCCCCCCGACCCAAGGCTGTGTGCTGTCCTCAAAGACCCTGCACAGACTGAACTTCTACGTTGAACACCTCTGTGTATCTAACCTCCTCATGCCCAGCCCTCAGACGGTTAACCCCGAGCTGGGAAAGGCAGCTCCTTCTAAAGGTCTGTTTACTTTTCAGGCCCTGGCCTGGGCTCCCGTTCTGGGGGGACTGCAAACGCCCTTGCAGTGTAAGCCGCTGCATGCAAGTGGGGCGTCCCACTGTCTTACCATGATGTTGGAGGCTACAACCGTAGGGTCATCACACACGGACTCAATGAAAAACGCCTGGTGGGAATGAGACAGAGACGTTAGAAAACAACAAGTGCCGCAAAGGGCCAACTTCGATGTCACAGTGATGCCATCGTCGTACGCCCTTCACGCGTCCCCGAAGGCACGATAGCCACCTACACACTGCCCAGTTTTTCAGCCTCCCTCTGCAGGGCCCTGCTATAGGGAGGCCCCACTTTTAAGCAGCAAAACTCAAGCGGCAGGAGGCAACGGACCAAGCAAAACTCAGGCCCCTGGGGCTTTCAACTGTCCTGAGCTTGCTGGGACAAGACCAGAAGTTCGGCTCACCTTGAAATCATTTTCTTTGGCAAAATGAAGGATCATGTGTCTCCTCTCTCTAGTAGTATTGGTGGCATCAAAAACCTGATAGGGAAAAGAAAGGGTCAGGAAGGAGAGCCAAGTCTGAGTGTGACAATCTTTACCAGTGCCACCAACTAAGTCTAACCTGTCATGTCCAGGGAAAAGCTCACAACTGCACTTCCAGGAGCGGCTGCCCTGTATGTTCACAGGTGGCCTTTCCTGTCCCTCTCCCTACAGTGCTCAGAACAGTAGGCAAGGGAGGGGCCAGCTAACGTGACCATGGAAGGGACGTGGGCACGGGTGGGCAGTGACCCCAGCCCTGCCTATCTTAGAGGTGGTGCCTGGCTGCCCGTTGCGGTGCTGGGTGACAGAGCATGCCACAGCTGTGCTACCCGGGGACCACCTTCCTGAGACACCAGGCCGGTCTAGTCACCTGCTTCCCTGGACCCGCAGAGGTTCCTGTCCCTGAGTGTCATCCCCACAGTGGCTCTCAGTGCTCTCGGGCAGTGAGGACACCCTGCCAGGGACGAGGGGCTGAGCCGGCTACATCCCCCAGACTTACCGCAATCTGCCCGCCTTCCTTCGTCAGGTAACTCTTGACATCCCTCAAGGCAGCTAAGGCACACTGCCTGCAACACACAAGAGCAAAACGCCGCCCATGAGAGCAGACCCTCCCACAAGAACGCTCACGCAACGACAAATTCCACTTCTAGGCTGCGCAGTGCTGACCAGGCCTCCTAAGGCCCCGAGGCTTCCAACCCGAGGCCCGGCACAGATGGCTTCAGGCACCCTTGGGGCGGCAGTGCCTGCACACCGGCTGCACACAGAATGGTTCCCCTGGGGAGCCGCGTAGAATCTGACGTCCGAGCCCACCCACAGATCCTCACTGGATGTTCTGGGGTGGGGTCGGACATCAGGAGCTTCACAAGCTCCCAGCTGATTCTAATGTGCGGTCAGGGCTGACCACCGTCACTCCAGGGGTTCACAGTGACTGTGCGTCATAAGAAACCCTCCTCGGGGCAGGGACTGGGGATTTAGCTCAGCGGCAAAGCGCCTGCCTGGCAAGCGCAAGGTCGTGAGTTCGGTTCCCAGTACCAGAGAAAAACCAAAAAAAAAAAGAAACCCTCCTCTGGGGCACACGGATGACTCCTAGCGAGGAGTGAGAAGGACTTTGCTGACTCTCGGAATGTGGCTGCTGTTGGTCTGTCTCACATCAGCTCAGCTAGGTCATCTGGGAACAAATCAAAGCGGCAAGTCTCAGAGGCCAAGAGACTTGTCCCGACACTGGACAGATCTGACGGCCACCAGCAAAGAACCCCACCACGGGAGGCCTTTCCCTTCCTCTTACAGAACCCGGCTACACACGCCGCAAGCCCACACCCGGGGCCTGCAGAGCAGGTCACATCTTACTTTCGGACTTTCATGGCTTCTTCATTGTCAGGGCGGAAGAAGTTGTAGGAGCTGTACTGCTTCACAGCCTCCCGGCGGTACTCTCCCACATTGAACACTGCACGGGGAAGACAAGGACAGCCTGGGTAACAGCAGGAGGAAAGCCCAGCCCCCACTGGGAGCACAGCCCCGCCGGAGAGAAAACCACCCGACCAGCACCCATGTGAATAAGACGAGATCTGGTATGGAAACCCGAGTGCGGCCTCCCGGGGCAGGATCACTCCCTCTTCCCGGAGCGCTGGAAAGCAGCGCCGCCGCCCTGCCCAGAACTAGGCGCACTGACTGCCGAGGCCTGCTTTACCGGACTGGCTCACACGGCCCGGCCTCGAAGCCCAGCCTCACCGTATCATGGGCAGAGACTGAGACCGTGGGAGCATGGCAGAGGAGAGGCAAGTCCAGCAAAAGGAGGGACAGTGATTTCTCTGTACAGTAATCAAAGTGAGTGGGTCTCTCATGCACTGCCCGGGCTCATCAGCCATTCTCCTGCTGGCCCAGAAGCCAGTGCCAAGGGACACGTTTTACAGTTACTGGGGGCGGCGGGGGGAACTCAATGGCAGAGCACACGCTTCGCACGTACAAGGCTCTGACTTCAATCCCCAACACCACAGAGACAGAGAAACCGAGAGTGAGCGAGAAAGTTACTGAGCACTGGCTGGGCGGTGGGGGAACAAGACATAAAACTGGATCCATCCTCCAGACATTTCCCATGGAATTGGGAAGGCCAGGAAGCGATCCCGTAACAACGTCATCAACAGCGTGACAGCGGGAAGCACCAGCAGAAGTCAGCAAAGGAACACGATGACCGAGGACAATGGGCATTTCAAGGAGAAAGATCTGCACAGACCGAGGTGGCCAGAGGGAGCCTCTGGGAGTGAAACCTGGGTCCGGCAGGATCTGGGGGAGCAGGAAGGGAGAGAATGAGCCAGCCACAAGGGAGGGGTGTGGATGTAGCACGGTGGAGACACGGCTGGAACACGCAGCAGGATCAGCCCCACAAGGTGGGACAGAAGTGGCGCAGAAGTGGCCCTGCCCGTGGCCTTCAGGGACCGCTGGTCAAGTTTTTGCAGCGTGAGAGACATAAGCAGGATCACAGCACTCAGTGTAACAGCCCTCACCTTGGGACCCGGCTCACCTTTCGTTGGGACGCCGATCCAGTTGAGGTAGCGAGTCAACTTCTTAGAGATGTAAGTCTTCCCCCGGGCGGGGAGGCCCACCATGACAATCACCGTGGGGGAGTTGGTCAGCTTTGGCCCGCAGGCTGGAAACAGCAAACAAGAAAGGGGCCGTAGATCAGGTGACCAGAGGTGATGAACGGCCCCCTACGCCCAACAGTAAGCTTTAAAGAATGGCACTGAAATCTGTCCTTCACGTCCCATCCCAAAGACCCCGGCATCTGATAACCCAACAGGACTGCGGCCCTTCCTGGCCAGGGCCCTTGAGTCATGCCTTGTAGTTTTATCTCCTTTTCTGCCTGAACGTGGCAAAGACAGTCTTGACCCCAATCTACTGGTCTGAGGGAGGGTCCTAACCCAAAGCAGAAGAGGGCTTGAGGGCTGAGGAGAAACTCCTTGAGGGCTGCATGAAGGGGGCCGAAGGGACTCGGGGAGGAAACAATAGGGAGAGGTGGTTTCCAGATGGTCATCATGGCCTCTACTGCGGGGGCAGGTGGCGGAAGGACCAGAGTGAAGAGATGGAGAAGCCAACCGTGAACGGGTGAACCTACACAGGAGGTCTGGGCACCTGTCTGTCTGTTATGTAGCCCAGGCTGACCTCAAACTCACAGTGATCTTCCCATCTTAGCCTCCCAAAGGCTGGGATTCTGGGATCAGGTGTGCACCACCAGGCCTGACTAGAAGCCAATTTTAAAAAGAGTTTATCAAATGGCAGTTGGTCAGACCCGGAGTGAGGGGAACCGCGCCACCCCTGACCCCCTCGTCCTCCTCCCCACCACCATCCTGCACCCGTTTCTGATGCCTGCCAGGTCCTCCCACCGAGGCCGGGTCCCTCAGCCCCAGGCAAGAGCCTGCTCGAAGGGAGCCGCTCTTGTCTGTGAGTTTCCCGGTTTTGGTTGCTGAGTGACTGCCCCACATTCCTCAGAATCGCAGTAAGACAAAACCCCGGGGAGCAAGCGTTTCACAACGCAGCCAAGACACCCTCTCTGGACACTGAAAGCCCAGCGCCTCCTTGGCTGCCACCTTGTCCCTGCGACTCTCAGGCGACTCTTGCATCCTGGTGACAAGCTCGGTCGCAAGCCGGAGGCTGCCTGCCAGCCCCAGCCCTGCCGTCCTCACCCCTTCCTGGCACAGGCAGCCCAGCCTGCAGAGAAAGCCGAGACCCACGCCACCAAGGTGGCCAGGTGCCAGGTGTGGACACAGCCTCAGACACAAAGGTAAGCCGCAACTGGAGGGTTCGCGTCGGGGAGGAAAACATGCCACCATCTCGGGGACAGGACCTCCCAAGCCTCAGCAAGTCCCTCAGGGGTCAATACTGAGGTCACTGCCTCTGCCTCCCTGACGTGGAGGCTCAGGGCCAGGCAGCAGCGTGTGGTGTGCGGGGGCTCTATTTCCTCGTTCACAGTCCAGACGGGGTATGGGGGAAAGCGAGGCTGTGGGACATCCAGAGACTTTCCGGAGCCCCAGAGCGCCTTGGCTGCACTCCCTCAGCTCCCAGAGCCCTGAGAACAAACGGGTTCCTAGAAAACAGGAGCTGACCACTGCCTGGAGAACACACACACCCCGCTCAGGTGATAAGCACATGAGTGAGTGAGCTGCACAAACAAGCACCGAGGGGCCTTGTGTCCCCTGGCCAAGCAGGGATTTCGTAAGACCCTCCCAGTGTGTCCAGGGGTATTCTAGCAGCTGTACCAGCACAGGAGAAAAGTGACAGCTAGAGCTGAGTCCAGCCAGGTGTGGCGGTACACACCTATAATCCCAGCACTCGGGAGGCTGAGGCAGGAGGACTGCCGTGAATAAGTTCAAGTTCAAGGCCAGCCTAGGTTACAAAGTGAGTTCAAGGCCAGCTTGAATGCCACAGTGAGATCCATAGTGAGATCAAAAAGATTTAAAAAAAAAAAAAAAAATAGAGCTGGGTACAATGGTGTACTCTCTGGACTCCGGAGGCCGAGGCAGGAGTTTACGGGCAGCCTCGGTAATTTAGCAAGTTCAAAGCCAGCCTGGACTACACAGTAAGATCGTGTCTCAAAACACAAGAAAGAAAGGTGGCAGTGAGGCTGACATCTTCTTACTGTGCGTGGAAACAGTGCTCGCGGGCCCCTCCCCAGGCCACTCGTCCCTCCTCCCTCATGAAGCCACCTCTCCTGCAAGCGCCCAGCACGCATGGAGACAAACACATACAGCTGTGCACACACACGGACTGCTTCAGCTGGAACCGCACCAAGAAAGCGGAGGCGAAGCTGACTGATTTATCAAATCAGGGATTATGTCTATCCACTAATCACAGGAGCAAATCTCCTCCGGCTGTAAGCACTTTAGAAGGGGAAAAAACAAACAAGACCATAGACACAGCAGAGTTACTACCTTAAGGCAAAAGTTCAGGTCAAATTTCAAACCCAAATAAACCATCACTGCCAAAGCTGGCAAGGCAGAAGCCATTCTGTCCATTCTGGGGCTGGGAGGGGAGGGGCTGCCAAGGGAGCCGTGGCTTTCTCTACCCAGGTGTCTGCCCTCTGGGCCAGCAGTGAGGGAAACACAAATCCCTCTGACTAAATTGCTATCATTCTGTTTTGGGGTTTTTTTGTGGGGAGGGGGCCTAGGGATTAAACTCAGGCCCTCCTGCCAGCTAATGAGCAAGAGCTCTGCCACTGAGCTACACCCCCTAACCAGTGGTGGCGACCTATGGCACTTGTGCCAAAGTGGGAACTTGTATCATTAAAAGCTCTAAAAGGTTCACCATCACTGCCCTAATCCGCCCCCCTCTCTTAAACTCAGACCCCTCAAATCTTCCATGATTAAAAATCTCCCAGCTCACTTGAATTCCCCAAATCTTTAGTTTCTTTTCCTCTACAGAGCTTTTTACCATGACAAGAGATGGCCACCCCACTCCTGGGCCTCTCCCGCCTCCCGAGTGCTAGGATTATAGGCGTGCACCACCATGCCCGGTATTTACAAGTCATTCTTTTTTTTTTTTTTTGGTACCGGGAATCGAACTCAGGACCTTGTGCTTGCCAGGTAGGCACTTGTGCCACTGAGCTATATCCCCGGCCCTTACAAGTCAAATTTAGATGTCAATTTAAATGAGCAAAAGAGGTAGATATTCACTATGATACAGGGGCAGGAAGCCATTGTCTAAAGAGCACCGGGTCCCAGGGGAGCTCAGGCTAAAACTGTTGTCCACGGCTAAAGTCATGGTCACTCGCTGAGTAGGACCTCACAGAAAGTCACCAAGTCCCGGAAGCTGAGCCTCCGCTCTGCAGTGTCCATCATTCCTGTCTGTGCACTCACTAGTTGACAAGACACCTGCTCTGGGTACCAGGTGGGAAGGAGGACAAGAGGGCAAAGCAGGGTGAGCCTCTCTGAGCAGGACCACTGGGCCAAGACCTGCCCGTGCACAGGCCTGTCAGACCACGCTGTCGGTTCATAACGCACACCGGCTCCCTGCGCGTGTTCCATGCAGCTAAACACACACAGGACACCGAAAGAAAACCAGGAGGCTAACTGCCGAGCACACGCGCTGTACGCTATGGCAGAGGAAGCCAGTTATGGAAAGAGTCAGCCAGAGAGGTGGGTAGCGCTTGTCTTCTACCCTCAACTGCCCTGCTGATTCCTGGAACTCATCCTCAGAATAAAGGCTGCCGGGAAGGCCATTTGCTGTGGCCCCCACACCTCCCTTGAACTTCCTCCTAGCCGAGGCTCTGCAGAATGCCAGCCTGAAAAAAAGGATGCAAAAATCAGTCTGTGCTTTTCTACAAGTAGGTGAGTTACGCTTCAACTGCAAGTTCCAGGGGAAGAAATGGAAGAGGCCGTTCACGACAGAACTGTGAACCCAGAAGGGAGCCATCTCCATGGCTGCCCGAGGAAACACAGACTGTGCCTGACTCGGGGACCATCTTGACCCACTTTCTAGAGCAAAGACCTGCTTCGGTCCTACAGATACACAACTGCCCTAAGCAAATCTCCCTGGAAACAGACTTAACCCACTTGGTGCTCGGGACAGCGGAAGGCAGCATGCATCTGGAGGAGAAAAATGCGGGTCACAGGTTGCTGGACCCAAACTCTCTCCTGGTGTCATCAGAGCAGCCTGCAGCGCTCTCAGAGTGTGCTGGGTTAACAGGACATTTGCTTCCTCAGCAGACTGAGCTTGAGGGCTGGGGGAAGAGGGTGGAGAATGCAGCTGACACCACTTTCCAAAGCTCTGCACTATTTCATGGTTACAGCATACATTCCTCTCTCTGCATGCGCATTTTAACTGTTTGTCTATCCTTACACCTGATGAAAGGCTCCGTATCATCTCAGCCAGCAACACCGGGATGGGGCATTTTAGTGCCTCGGTGACAACCTTGGGAGTCAATACAATAGCACAGTATGAAGCTTGCAAGACTGGGAGTCCAGTAAACAGAGCTCAAAGCCCGGCCTCAGCACTTCCTGGGACAAGTTCATCTCTCCATATCTTTCTTCTGTTCAGTGAGGGAGGCCGCGCAGACAGTGCTGTGGGGAAAACCTGTTAGCACAATTCACATGAAAAACTCACTGCAGAGCCTCAGCCAGTATCGCCCCTCACGACTGTCGTCCTTCCGGAGGGGCAAAGAACTAAACCCCCAAATGGAGAGGGGCCACACAGCAAGACCGGCAGGTGGTGGACGGGGGTTCAGCTCAGGTCTTTCTCACTTGGAACCTTTCTGTATTCTTTCCTGAAAGAGTGGCTCTCGTAAGTGGCCAAGTATCCCGAGCCTTTTAAAAAACAAGGTAGCTGGAACAACTCTGACATGGAAGAGGGGCTCTACTATGGACTTTTTATTTTCCTCAAGAATCTTACTCGGAATGGTCCTAATGAATTCAGGCTACGAATCTGTGCTATGAAGTGCAGGGGGCCATGTAAGGACAAGGCAGGGATTTCTCCACAATATCCATCTGTCTTCCTAAGTTAGAACACCAAGAGTATAAGCTCCTAGGAGAGGAAAATCTATGGGTTTGAGCACCAAGTCCGCCTTTCTTCATATGTAGTCCCCTGCTCACTTTGTAGCCCTGGCTGGTCTCCAACTCACAACCGATCCTCCTGCCTCAGCCTCCCTTCTGCCTCAGC